TTTCTTTATTTGTATTTTAAAAAACACACTCTCAAATTGTATAGCTCAAAATTTTATCTTTATAGGTAGTTGTCAATTTAAAACTACAATTTAGCCTGGAATACGTGGTTGTGACATAGTGGTCATTAGTTGAGTCACCATGTACCAGACTTGATTTTATTATTGTTTTTATGATGGTCATTAAGTAAGTCACTGTGTCTGTTAAATGAAATTTGTGATTGTTAAGTGAATCACATGGTCATAAATCTAAACCGGCTAATCCAATGGGCTTTTTTATTGGAAAACTGAAAATGGCAAAATACATTAGAAAATGTTATATCAGATCTCTTTCTAGAGGAGGTAAAGGAACTTAAACATAAGTGCAGTATATGCCCTGAATAGATTGTTTTAAAATATAAAATACTTTAAATATAGACTGCTATATGCTTTCATTCAGTGTAAAGCTTATAAATAATATGCAATAATAAAAGTATCTCTTAATATAGACTTTCATTTCTGAACTCTGCATACTGTATTAAAACTTAAATGACAGAGAAGTTGTTATTTCTGCAGGAAAAGTAATATGTGTTGCTGTAAGACTTACTGTTTCTTAAAGTGTAAACTAACTAAAGGGATGATAGCTTTGTGAAGGTTTCATCAGCAATGCTCTTCAGATGTGTTCAGTTACATTTCTTGAGCTGGCAGAAGTGCTAAGGTGTTGGAGTTGGAGGGCACCAATTTAGGAAGGCTGGTTTAGTGACTGCCAAAATAATAGAGGCAGGATTCTCTTATTTAACTTTTAAATGCATTAATGTATCACTCTGGCATAATTCAGAATTAGAAATCTCCTCTGTAATTTGGTTTGCTACAGTGTTTATTATAGAATTTCCTAAAGAAAATATGAGATTTTCTTTAAAAAAACAAACTAAATAAAATCACTAACAATTTTCAGAAATTCTGTGGCATATTTAACATTATTGTCTTACATTAATTCTATATTATGAAATCAAGGATGTTAGTGTGTAGAAATTCATTATAAATTTTGAAAGGTTATAGAAAAGATTTAGGTTGATTGAACTTGGTATTTATGTTTTTGTTATGGCTAATAGGTGGGCAATTAACACAGAAAAAAGTCTTTAATGCTACATTAATTGGTGCAAACATGTCAAATAATTGGTTGCTCCCAGAACTAAATTAATTAGCACATTTTCTGTGAGAGAATCCTAACAAGCAGTGATGAAGTTGAGGATATGGCTAGATAAAATACCCGGTAATAGATATGATAGGATTGTAAAAATGGACAGAATGCAATGGAGAGTCAAAGTAGGTTTGGAGCAATTTGGTTTTGGGAGTAACAGATGAAATTAAATTGCTACTTCTTCAGTATGCATCAAATTTCCCCAGCTTATCAAAAAAAAAAAAAAAAACCTGTCATCCTATTTAGTCAGCATGATTATCCTGCTAATTACAGATTCTGTTTTATTGCAGCACTGTGAATTGTCAACTTTAAGAAGAAAACCCAACCCAAAAACTAATCGTGGCTAGATAAACAAAAATACAAAATTATAAGCTAATTGGTTGCATTCAGACTTCTGTTCAAACTGAACAGTTATGTGGATTCTTAAATATCAATTTGGCTTTTTCAAAAAAAGGTGTAATAAGTTAGCGTAAACTTCGTTTGCTCCAAGTGACTAACGTAATATCATTTTGCCATATTATAGCATCCTTTCTACTTAATGCAAAGTATAGATAGATATTCTCAAACATGTGAATATGAAGATTATTTTTAGAACTGTCTGCCCTGAGCCACAGAGGAAAATAGGGAGTCATGCATTCTTCTTCCTAATAGCCACTTACCATGGAATACATTATTCCTGTTGAAGGTAGAGGAAATGAATTGGGCAAAAAGACTTGACTCAGTACTTTCCCATTTGCAGACCAGAGCAAGCACTGAATATCTGGTTTCCCATTATTTTAGGTACATATTAGATAGCAGTTGCATGTTCCTAACTAGTGCATATCATATTTTTGAGTGTGATGTTTGCATAATATTTTTTAAATAAATATTGTATCTTTTGTCTGCCAAAGAATGTTTTTTTAACATATACTGTTAAGTAAGTGCTGTTCTTTTTTTAAAAAACTACAGATAAAGCTTCCCCAAGACGGTTGCCACGCAAGAGGACACAGAAAAGATCAGTGGGCTCCGACGAGTAAATTTTGTTAGCCCAGTCAACCTTTACTAAACCCAGGCAGCAAAACCCTCCCTAGTGTTTGGCTTGAATTGGGAGTTGAAATATGCTGAAAGCCATATTGACTGAGGAGAATACTGAAATATTTGGACTAAGCATTTAGTTGTGTTCAGAGAACATTGCTAAAAATGCACTTCAAGTTCCTTTTAAAGAAACTTTTAATTGCAAATCATTGTGCTTTCTGAAACGTGCCTTCAGAGTCTCTTCATAATGCTGATCTGTCATTTGCATGCTTTTGTTTCTGATTCTTTGTCACAAATGAAAGTGTCATTTCCCATCTTGTTCTAATTGTGTCCTGTTATACAAGGTCTTTATGCATTTTCTTATTCAGTACTTGAGTCATTGATCTCATTCTTTGCTACATGTATGTAACTATTTTTAGTACGCATGTTGAGTCTCTCACAAAGCACTGAGTCACAGTTTTGTATTCTAAAGGCACAAGCAACTGCTTTTAGCAGTATTTTTTAAATGGCTGCTGATGTGACAAAGTGCACAGAATCTTGAGATCCCAAATGTCCTTGCATATATGTCCGATACTTTCTACAGCAGCTGCAGTTCTGAAATTTGGGTTGTGTGCTCATTTTTGACATCTGTCTTCTTTTGATTGCAATGTAACTGTGCATTTGTAACTGTTGGAAATATTACTTCAGTCAAGTGTTTGACCAGGTGAGTTTTGAATGCTAGTTCAAATTGTTTAAAATTGAGCCTCATCAGTATAAATTCAGGGATTCTCCCACAATTCAGAAACAATCATGGATAACAAAACCTGTCAAATTTCATAGATAAAGCTGGATATAAGGTTTGACATACCTGAAAGTTTCTTTGGATAACAACTTGTAAACCATTCAGCAGAATTGTGCTCTTCTGTCTCCCATATTTGATTGTATATGAAAAAAGTTTTGAAATGACAGTAAAAATGTAACTTACGTTTTATTTTTGTATTTTGTGGTGCTTCTTCTCTTTTGAAGTCTTAATTTCCAGTTAGCTTGAGTATTTGAGAACCAGAAGCTACATTAATTCCGTAATTTATATTTAATTTTGAACTCCTTGGTCTGTCATAACGTGTATACTGCTAAAATATAATATTCTGTTTCACCAATACAATTCAGTATCTAAAACTAGAACAGAAGTTTAGAAGCTGTATTAAAGCAATGTTTAATTCCTAATACAGTGGTATCTCAGTACTCCTCATTAAGTTGGTTCTAGGAGGTGTGATTGGTACAAAAAACAATAAGTATCAAACAATTTTTCCCATAAGCAATAATCTAGTGAGTCACAAGGCAGCTGACACCGACAAGTTCTAGCTTGTGTGTTGAGTACCAAACAAACAATGAGTACCGGGACAAAACGTTCACATCAAAATATGTTGAGTACCAAATTCAATGAGTTTCAAAACAATGGAGTACCAAGGTACCCATGTATTTGATTCTTTTAACCTTGGCCATGAAGCAAATCAAGCAAGCAAGAAAGCAAGCAAGGATTCAGGATGTGACACTAGACATAATACTTTCGTATCATCCTCTTATCTCAGAAGATACTTCAGGGACTTAACCGAGTCTTGGAAGACTAAGTTATTTCATCACTTACATGAAATAGGCAAAAACTTCTGGTATCCCTATTTTAATCTTCTCCTCTGAACAGGTACTTAGTTTAAAACTAATAATTCGTATTGCTCAGTGTTCCATTTAGCAATACATTTTCTCTATAGCTCAGAGAAATTTACTGAATAGACTTATGATCATGAAGGCTGCATTTTAATTATGTATTATCAAAATGCTTCTAATTATTAGAATAATTATCTGTATTAATAAAAACGGTTCACCATGCATAGTAAATGAGATGAGCAGTCTACTACTAAGGATTATTGAACAAAGATGACAGTTCTGACAAATGAGTAGTTTTCACAGAGGTGGAGAGATGTGTTTCTCCGTCTCTTGTTAGCAAGGAGCTGGTAAGGCAAATAGAGGAATGAGGGTGCTCTCCTGACTAGGAGCTGTATGCATTGTCCATCTCGGAAATAATTACTCATGAAGGAATAGGACAAAATATTTTCAAGTTCCTTTTTGGTGAAAAAACTGAATTTGTAATAGTTTTCTGTATTAAAAATAGTTACTATTAACCACACTAAAATGTAGAATTATTTATTTCTCCATTAGTCGAGAGCTTTTGCAGACTATAATAACAAATTTTGCAAGGTTGTGGGTAAGAAGATCCCACTCAAATTTAATTGAGTGCATATTGCACTAAGCTGAATTGTGGTTCATTTGTTTTTGCATCAATATGATATGTCAATCCACTCTAAGCTGATAATTATTTAGTCTAGGTCTGGGTGACATTTTGATACTTGGAGCAGCAACATAGGCGAGCATGTATGTGAAGTGGGTAAAAATGTGGCATATGGACAGTATCTTGTTTTGTAGGGTTTTTAAAAAAAATCTATATGAAGCCTAGGTTATATTTATATGAAATTTTGCTGCTTTTCTTTTCAAAAAGGCTGTCTGTTGACCTGGACAGAAAGGATTAGATGCTTTAGTCTCATTAAAATCAAATCAACTGTCCCATTAGTCTAATTAAAATCAACATATTTATTGATTTTAATGCAACTTAATCTGGATTTATACCAATCTACTTTAAACAATCTTGTTTGTCAGACTCTTCTTTTCTGTATTAGTGTTTCTGCAGTTGAAAGCATCAGGCAAAAATCATAATACACTAGTTAATTTGTTATTATGAACTATTGTAAACTATTAAGCATAGTTTGATAAAGTTTTACTTGTGGAATACTGGTAGAAGTTTTAATTTATCGTTCACATATAAAATGTTTCCTTATTTAAGAGCATATTTAGAACAGTCTTTTTAACTCTTAAGTTCTTACCATTTCTAAATTGTTTAACCGTTTTTGAACACTGGTAACTTACATGTTCAAAATTGCATGATACTCATAAACAGTATCAACTTGAAATGAATTGAGATAAGTAATAGACAATGGCAAAATTGCAACTATTTTAAAAAGTTATATACAAGTATTGCTTTTACATCATTTTGGAATTGAGTCTGAAGCCTTACCATGAAGTAACTATATTTAAGCTGGAGGAAGTACCTACTTATGGTGTTGTAAGCTTGACATGCTACTATTTCCAATACCCTTTGTGTACCCTACATCCAGACTAGAGGTCAATATAACTTACTAATCAACTGAATCTTGATCTGTTGACACCAGTAGTCTAATGGCTTTAAATGTTTAAACCTTTTCCAGATGATTCCCCTGGCTTTAATTACACAAATATTACACAGAAATTTGATACAAGCCAGATGTTTTTTTTAAACAATGTGCTTGTACTTGGAAGAAATTAAATATTCTTAATATTGTACTTTTGTCCCTATTAAGGTTTGTCCCTCTGAACTACCACTTAACTGGAGTTACAAAATGGCTCTATGGAGTGAGATTATTTCACAGTGTGAAGACACTTAATAATAGCGTGTCCCACATAGCTTCCTACAATAATTTGTATCTACTGCATGATTATCATTGCTACTTTCTAGTTCCCAGAATTAGCTACTGATGCAAGCTCCTGTCAGGAATGAAGAATGGTAATAAGATACCCTCAGGATATGCCTTGTTGTTTAATACTGTGGAGCCTGTCTTTTTCTTTGCTCCTTTGTAAATAGAATGATTTGCTCCATTATCTTATTTTGTGTTAAGGAAAGAACTCTGGGCTTTTTACTCAACAGGTGGAATTTTCCCACTCAAAAGTCTTGCCTCCTAAAGCCATCTGCCTCCACAATGCCCTGGATTCATATGTGAACAATTTAATTTAAACTAGATTGTCTATTCCTAGAGTTAAATTTTCCCCTAGGTGTACAAAACGGGTAACTTTTATGAAAAAGTTGATGTAACAATTACATATGAAGATTACTCCTAATTAAAACCAATTAATTGCATGTATAACTCTGGTCTGTTGAACCTGTATGAATTGTGTTGGTGGAAAAAGTTAACATACTTCCCTGGCAGTAGACCAAACTCGGGTCTCTAAGCCAAGCCTGATTCCTGATAACTTCATAAATACCAGGAAGTCATGGATATTCATGAAGTCCATATAGTTTTAGCTACAGCATGCAAATTATTTGCCATTTCTTTCAGGGCTTTTGTTTTATATACATATTTTAAAAAATCCACCGGTCTAACTAATACCAAGAAGTACAATACTAACCAGTTCTAACTTTCATTAAGTGTTTTTCTTATATCACCCATCACTCTATTAAAATAATCCCAGGGATCATTCTTCCTCAACCTGATGCCTTTTCAGCTGTATTTGTGCCATCATTCTCATGATTGTCTACCTGGGGTAACTATTGACTATGTCGGCTGAGAAGTATGAAAAATCCAACATATCTGGAGAACACCAGGTCTGGGAAGGTTGTGAACATACAGAAAACAGAAAGGGAATGGAGAAGAGAGCCTTGCTGATCATCTTTTGCTGACATTACTGGGAACAGCAAAGTATCCAGAGCAACCACATGGTGGCGCTACCTAGAAGCAAATTTCAGTTCATTAAACCAAGTTCAAAGAGCTAGAGCAGCCTGCAGTAGCGCACAGGATTACTTCCTCTAGCATGGCAGAAGTGATTGGTTTGGAAAGAGAAGAGCAATGAGCCAGGCTATTTGTTTGGGGTTCGGTTTCTTGAAGATAGAAACTTACTCAAATGCACAAGTTAACTCTTGAGATAATAAGACTTAATATTGCAGAATACTTCAAATGTATGTATACGTGTGATTAAAATAGTCACTTCCTTATATGTTCGCATCTTGAAGCAGTAAGCATCAATTCATTTTGACCAGTTTTTCTTACTCAATCTGTTTCAATTATCAAGAAAGCTACTGATTTTAGATTTGTGGGATATGCTGCTAGCCTGAGGCCTTACAAGTAGGAATCTCTACAAGGGAGTGTTTCTTTTATATGTAGCTGCTTTTATCAGACAGCAGCTGGTAGCAGATTTTGGCAGAATTTTTTTTTTTTTTGTTAGAGTAGGATGGAGACACATACACTTTTCTACAATGAAAGTATTCACAAATCTAGGCCTACCAGCTCCCCAACAGATGCTCACTTCATATGTAATATTGCGTTTCTATTGATGCATCTCTCCGTTGCAATCAACAGGAATGTTTGAAATCATTCTTCTGTTGCCACAAATCTGAATTTCCCAGGCCAAATTATTCAGCAAGATGGGTGGCACAGAGGTTCGATAAATAAAATAAAGCCATGCCATAAATTTTCAGAACACATAGCATTAGTAATCACTCTTAGTTGAACCATATATGGAGGAAAGGTAGGTGGCTCTAAATTGCATTTTAATATATTTCTCGGCTGTTATTGGGGCTTCTTCAAACAACAGATTGCTCCCCCCCCTTGCCACATTTTGTTTCAGGTCACATGCGTTAACTGAATATTATACAGTACATAACATTAGAAAAGGCTTCCTTCAGGCAGCATGCAATCTTGTAAACTAATTATCTGATGCAGAATGTAAGTGTATGTTTTTTCCTTTTTAGCTGCCCTTAGCTAAGAAGGAAGCAACAGGCAGTGTACATGCCAGCAATTGCAATGTAAGTCTATATGTTGCACAATAATGATGTTAGAAGAAAACACTGCTGCCCTCCCTAGTATGCATCACCAGTTTTGTTGGCTGGTGCTTCTACCCCCATTATTCTCAAAATGACATTTGTTTGGAAGTCATGTTACAGGAGAAGGAAAAACATCTTAAACTGGTCAAACAGTTATGGAGCCAAGTGTCGTGTTTGGTCTCGGTGAAAAAAATAAAAAGATTTTTCTTTCTGTAATCTGTGACTTGGAGTGAAGTAGGGATCAAAAAAGTCCTTTTGAAAGACATAGTCCATAAAGACAGTTCTCTTGGCTTGCTATACCACTCCATGTAGGCACTTCTCTGCCTCAAGTTCTGCAGGACAGACAAAATAAATAGAATTTTCTCCTTTATTTTTGCTTTTACCTCTCGAGAAAGAGAGCCTGCTTCAGATGCAAAGTTATTCATAGAACTAGTTATTCAATGTCTACTAGAGCTAGTATGGTCTATTGGTTAGACACCAGGCTAGAAACTAGGAGAGTGAGTTTTGATCTCATTTTAGGCATGACTAGAACTCACAGCTGCCTAGTTTCTAGCCTGGTTGGATGACTGGACCACTCGCTCTTCCAGCCCAGCTCACCTGGCAGGGTTTGTGGAGAAAATAGGAGGCAGAAGGACTGTTATGTATTGTTTGCTGCCTCGAGTCATTTATACAAATAATAAAGGTGTGATAAAAATTTAAAAAATTCACATCACACAGTAGATGTGTTTCTCTTAAATCTTTCCAGTTCTCTTCAAGGACTCAAACATGGGCGTCAGAAGCTTCACTGAATTGAAACAAAAGCTGTGCTTTCCTTCTAAAAGATCATTGAGTTTAGTGACGCTTATAACGAATAGGCACGTGCTGCACCCTTTTCCATGCTCAAACTTTTCCGATGTGTTGAGTGGCAATTCCCTTCACCCTTTGATCAGCCTCACATTTCAACTATTGGTTTATCGTACCAATGTCACCCTTTGTAACATGGGTGGCAATATAAAAATTGTTAAATGAATAAGCCTTTCAACTGCTGCTTAGGAATTACGGGGGTTGTCCATAGCTGAGGAGAGTAATAGATTGAGGAAGGCTGACGTAGAGAATTGGGTTTTCACACAAAAGAGCACAGGATCCCTTCTCTGCGCCAGATGAAGTCACCTATGCATTGGCTCCATTGATAAATGTGAATAATGATATCACTCTCTTTTACGCAAAGTTTGGGTACTCTGGATTCTTTTTTGTATAAGAAAAATCACATTAGGTTTTTAAAACATTATTCCAATAGTATGACTGTTTCATACAATATCTGACAGCTTCTGCATCTCCAGAACATGTTAGAGGGACATCTATAGCAAATAAAAAAGGAATTGCTCTTTGAATAGACACGGTTAAGTGACCTGAATTGTTTTAGCTAAAAAGTCCTGACTTATAATTGACCTCATATACTGTATACAAGGCAAAACTATGCAGGTTGTCTTCGACTTACAATCACAACTGAGCCCCAAATTTCTGTTGCTATGCAAGAACAATTGTTAAATACGTTTCCCCCATTTTATGAGCTTTCTTGCTACAGTTGCTAAGTGAATTTCTGCAGTTGTTAAAGTTAGTAATAGTTGTTCCGTGAATCTGGCTTCCCCATTACCTTTGCTTTTCAGAAGGTTGCCAAAGGTGATCACATGTCCCTGGTAATGTGATCAAAATTTGGATGTTTGGAAACTGGCATCTCTTTGTGTATCATAAATACATGCCAGTTTCCAAACATCCAAATTTTGTTCACATGACCACGGGGATGCTACAACGGTCATAAGTGTGAAAAATGGTCATCATTCACTTTTTTCCGTGCTATTGTAACTGCAAATGGTCACTAAACAAATAGTCATAAGTCGAGAACTATCAGTAAAATGTACAGAAAAAATTACACAACTTGGCTGAACTAAGAGGCTAGTTAGGGTTGGACCTGCTTAGTATTTGGAAGATAATATCAACTAATCCCAATATCCAGAGGCTGAACTCAAGGTATAGGTCAATTTACAAGAGAAAGAATAGTCCAGAACCAAAATCTTACTATATAAGAACAGGCAAATTCCACATTTTGCTCTCTAGCCATCTAATTATCTTTGTTCCTTGAGCTGCCTGGATCAGCCTTGTGTCTGAACCAAAGCTTTAAGCATCTTACATGCATCTGTTCCATCTAATCCCCAATAACTGGGGCCTGTGTTTCACAAGAGAGGGGGAGGAAAAATGCTGGTAGCATTCCCAGATATGCTGCCTTCTAACAAAAGGGAAATCTGTGCCACAAAAATTCTTTGTGTACCCATTTAAAATTATGGGATTGGACAGCAGTGACATACTATGGAAAATTCACATGAATCGGTAGTATTTTTATAGGATAAGGGTGTAGAGAGCGGGAACAACCTGAAGGCCAAACCACAGAAACTCTCTAAGGACCCTGGAGTGGCCACACTGCAATTTTTAACGTACAACAGAGGAGGGTATCATACAATCCTATTATAGTAATCATATTTATTTGTAATTTTAAATCAGAGCAAGTTTAAAATGCAGTGTTTTGCCTTCTGCTCAGTGCATTCATTCTCAAGAAAAAGATGTATGATTGTAATCTTAGAGTGGAGCTTAATAAAATAAAGGTGTATTTATTTAGCTCCAAAGAAAAGAGTGAGACAAATATGTAGAGTAGTAGAATTATAGGCAGCGAAAGAGGTGAAAGAGTCTCTTCCTGTTTTATCTCTAATTCAGTTAAAATAAAGGGAAGTCTTAGGCTTAAATTTCTTAGTTGCTTTAAACTCCAGTGTCCTCTTTGCTGTAATCCTGACTTTGGTATTAAGAAAAACCTTTTAAGAACAATTAAGTCTGAGAAGAAAATGCTTGCAAATTGGTTGTGTCATTTATGTAGAACATTTTTAGGAACAAGCCATTCAGGACGCTGAGCACCAGTGAAGAATTCAAGGGGAATGTTTTCTGAATATAAGGAAATATGGTAGGAGTTTTCAAGGAATTCTAACAGTGGGAGCAAGCAAATGTGTGCCTCCCAGTACGGTGACACATCCGGACTTTCTTCGCATACAGTAATATTGGTTTTCATAAAATGTGTTAGTGGTTTAAGCTGTTGTATTTTGATACAGGAATTAAGATGGAAAGATCCCAGGCTAAGTAAGATTCATGCATTTTGACTTTCAGGCATGTCCCCTTATACCAGCATAACCTTTCCTCACATAGTGTCCTCTGGATGCGCTATATTTCAGTTCCATCATTTCTTAGTTTTTGTAGGTTTGGGAGTTGTATGGCTGTATACAGCACTAGATGAAATCTTAACCTAGATTTTGAGTGGAACCCAATAGAAGATAAGTAAATCACTCTATATGCAGTAAAACAATGCAGCCAAGCAGTTCCATGGGGCTCAGCTGTTTGTGTTTGCAACTATCTGGATTTTTCCTTGGTAGACGGGCAATAACGTTTCAGACAGAGACTAATGACAGGTCCACACCAGAACCAAAGTTCAAATAGCTTCCCCTGTCTGGGCCCCCTTAATCATCATCAGCAAAGCACAGTATTTTTCAAAGCTCTTTTAGTTCCCTTTGAAAAAGATCAACTTATTTAACTTCTTAAGCAAGGAGATATGTCTGGGCTGTGAAGCCTGTATCCAAAACGAGTGGAAAAGGGACAGCTCAGGAAACCTTTATTCCTCAAAAGATTGTGAGCTCCACGCCCAAAGGGAGCTTGTTTTTATCTGATATCTGTCAGTCCTAGTCAATACATCAAAACACACAATTCCCAATTCTTTCAACAGCAGTTGCATAGCTGGGATGGATAAGCATAATCAGATCCAGCAGCTTTGATCCCTAAGGCTCTGAGCAAGACACACACAGCAAATCTGTCACAACCAAAGAAAATGTGAGGACTGATGGAAGAAGCATTCCCCTCACATGCTGCCCAGTTTCAATCTATTGCACCTTAATCTGAAATAAAAAGGAAATCATAGTTGCATCTTAACTTGGTGCTAAACATTGGATCTGAAAATTTTTCTTGTATTGCAATCCTTCCCATGTTGAAGAATAAACTTCATGGTGTAAAAAGGTGTTTTATGCAAGGATTGCAGCCTTACCATAACAGACTTGGTGCTATCAGAGAGAATTCGAATAACTAGACATGCTCTGCTGGATCATGGTTTCAGAGACATTTCCTTACCTAAATAGAGAAACAGAATGGCTGTGGGTGGGGGGAGGAGGAAGCAGGAGAAGGAGAGGAGAAACTTGTCTTCCTTCCCCATTGAATTTCCTTGTTGGAATCTGGCAAGAAGCATCAGAAATCTGCTTGCCTTCCCTGCCCTGGTAAGTGAGGGGTGGGAACGAGGGATTGTGAGATTGGCTAGGAAACTGTCACGGAACATTGAAAATAAAGACCATGTGACAACACTAGCAACCCAGCAGCACAGAAGCAGTCAGTAGTACTGAAGCAGCCACAACTTTTCCAAATTTTATTCCCTTGGTACTCAAGGGTCTCCAATTTTGGGCACATTCTGTAAGTTAGCTCATTTGAGGTACTTTGGTTCAAAAATTGTCACCCTATGATGCACTGTTTTTCCCTGTCAAAAGTCATCACAATAAGAGTTTTAGTAGCATATGGGTGCAAATTTTGGGTTGTATTCAGCTAGCATCTAAGCCAGAGACATATATCATAGATTTGAGAGCCTACAAAATACAGAAGAGAACTGGGGCCATCCTCAGTCACCCATGGATGTGCTGGGTGATCTTCAGTTAATCACTGACTGGGATCATAGATTGCAGTGCACCGCAGTAGGTTTTGATTACTTGCAGCTAAGCAAAAGGTATGAACCCAGTTTACGGTTTAGTGCTGAAGTGCAGAATTTTCCCTAACCGGAGATCTTCAATAGACTTTGTGCGATTTGTCTCGGGTCACATTTCAGAAAAGAAATTCTGGCTCTGAACATTTTTAATGGGGCGGAGAAATTTGGGGCCCTATCCAAATCCTACTTTCCAAAAAAGTGCAGAGACAAATAAGTCAATCGGGTCGAATTGTTAAAATAGAGGAACATGATCTGTAAATCGTATTTTACAGTGTAGAGTGATTTTTGAAAGCAGCTAACTGTGGTTTATTCCACAAGTGTGACTAAATCATAGTTTTGCCATGCATAAACCCAGCCTTTCTCCCTCCCTCCATCTGTCTATTACTTTCAAGACTTGCATCTATTCTGTCAGCCTTTCCTCTAAACCTGTTGGTCCTGGACTCCTGTTACTCTCCCCACACTCTTATGTATGCTCGAGCAATGGAAAATAAAAATAGGATGTAAATTATATGGCCTACAATTAATTTTCCAAATGCATTTAAGTGCAGAATTTGAGCCGTCATGGTACAACATTATTTCTGCCATTCTATTTTTCTATTAAAAAGCTGCCTACATCTGTTGAGTCCAGGAAACTTAAGACTTCTTGCCTAGCACGTCATTCACAATGAG